GGCTGATTGAAATCCCCGAAAAAGATCCCCATCATTGCTACCCATCATTTCATTAATTTGCGAAACAATGTCAGCGTGAGACTGGATGCACTCGCAATTTATTTATTTATTTATTTATTTCGTCAACCAACGTAGACTAGTACAACTAATACAGTTTTGTTTTCTTAAATACATATTTATATAAAAAAAAGAAGTGTCAGCTTTCTTGTCTTTTCTTTTATGAGCTGTTATTTCTTATGGAATAAAAATATTGCTTTAGTTTATGCCCAGACATTGTAAAGTCAATGGTTTCGCAGTATTGATTGTAAGAGGCCATCATGCGGTTTAATGGCCCATATTTTGCATAATTTGTACGATGATGTTTTATGGCAAATACATTTCGATTTCGGAGTTGCCGAGTAGGTGCATGGAAATTTAATTTTGATAAAAGTTCTGTGGAGTCAATGCGTTGCGAAACGATATCGTTTACAAATGAAACCATTGCATATTCACGACGCTCTTTTAATGTTTGTATGTTTATAAGCATGCAGCGTGCTTCATATGATGGAAGAGGAAATGATGTCCAACCTAATTTACGAAGAGCGTATAATAGAAATTGTTTTTGTACGGATTCTAATCTTTCTTCGTGCGTGATTGAAAAAGGAGACCATACAATGCTGCAATATTCCAGTATTGACCTCACATAGGCGATATATAGTGTTTTAATTGTGTAAGGTTCCTGAAAATTATAGCAAAAGCGCTTGATAAAGCCTAGCATGTTATTTGCCCTGTGAATAATTGTATTGTAATGGTCTATGAAAGTTAGCTTAGAGTCTAAGATAATTCCTAAATCCTTAACTCTTTCACATTTGTCTACAGTTTGATTTCCTAATGCAATTGAAATGTTTGAATTTGTTCTTTTTCTACTAAATGATATTAAGTTACATTTTTTTACATTCAATTCTAGTAGACTTTTTTTGCACCATATGTAGAATATGTGTATTTCATTCCGGAATATATTGATGTCTTCTTCATTTCTTATTTCCAAAAAGAGCTTCATGTCGTTGGCATAAATAAGCAATTTAAGTTTTTTGAGAATGTAAGATATGTCGTTTACGTATAGAATAAAAAGGAGAGGTCTTGCGGGACGCCTGAAGTGACTTGAATTGGGATCGATTTCTTTCCGTTGAATTTAATTATTTGTTGGCGGTTAGTTAAATATGATTCAAGCCATTTCAGGAGCCCTGACTTAATTCCATTTTTTTGCAGTTTAAAGAGTAACATTGGTATGTCAATGCGGTCAAATGCCTTGCTAAAGTCTGTATAGAGAGCTTCTACGTGGTTTCCATTATCCATTGCATTCAATGAAAAGTCTATAAATTCAAGTAAATTGGTCGAGGTCGAACGACCCTTTAAAAAGCCGTGTTGCATGTCAGTAATTCTATTTTTGATTTGGAGAAATAATTTTTCGTTGATAATTGACTCGAAAAGCTTAGGAATGCAAGAGATAATGGCTATACCACGATAATTACGTACGTCAGATTTTCGACCAGATTTAAAGATAGGTACTAGAAATGAACTTTTCCAAATTTGAGGGAAGGTTCCGGATTCCAGGGACATATTAAAAAGCCAAAACAATGGAGCAGTGAGTTCCATTGCTAGACATTTAATAAATACTGGAGAAATTCCGTCAGGTCCAGGACCTTTTGAGGCATCTAAATTTTTTAAAGCCTGCAAAATGTCCTGCACTTGAAGTTGATTGAGGCCAATGTCCCTTGAAAATTCTGGATAAAATGCAAAATAATCGCGGTCACGATCTTCTTCAGAAAATGTCGTATAAATTTCTTGAAAAAATTTTGCGAATAGATTACAGTTTTTTCCGAACTATCACCGACATTTTCGTCTAGATGCATTATTGAAGGAAAATTGTCAGATTTTAATTTCGTTTTTACGTAATTAAAGAAGTTCTTCGGACAGGACTTTATTTCACGTTCAGTTTTTGCATTATATTCTTCAAATGCAGTACTGATAGCTAAATTCAGTTGATCGCATAGATCCAAATAAATTAATAAATTATTACTACTATTGTGTTTTTTATAAATTTTATGTGCTTTTTGCTTCCGATTTTTCAAGTTTTTTATTTGTCTGTTAAACCAGACTGGATTTTGTGTGTTTCTGTTACGTCTTTTTTTCTTCAAAGGTATTTCTTCCGAAATTATTTCTGTTAAAATTTTGTAGAACACGTCTATACCAATTTCGACATTTCCTACATTCCTTAAAATTAATTGCCAATTGACACTGTTTAATTTATATTTGTTGTTTTCGTAGTCTGCTAATTTGTATTCAAAGACTTCTTCGTATTCGCAGTCGTTGGGTCTTTGGTTTTCATGCATAAATAAAGAATATTCGATTGCTGTGTGAAACGCTTCATTTTTCCACAGTGGATTTAATGATTAGGTCACACAGAAATCTTCATAAATATTCGTTAGTAAAAAGTCCAAATAGCAATTTTGTTGGTTTTTGATGTGGTTAATTTGGTTCAGTCCTAAATTAGCAGTTTTGTCAAAAATGAACTGCAATCAGTGGACTTCTCTGGTGGTACGTATGAAACACCAACAAAGATAGACCTTGTTTCGGATGAGATCTTTAACGAGCATCACTCCATTGTCGTATCGCATGTGCTCCATTTTGCAGCTCTTTTTTCACTTTTACTTTGTTAACTTCGTGGTACCGGAAAAGATATTGATGTATACATTATTAGCAATGATGCGCTATAACCACAAATGGATGGCCGTTCAGAATGTTTCAACGGATGTGACATGAGGGAACATTTAAATTTAACACGATTTATATTATATCTATGCAACATTACATTTTTTCACTAACAATAAACATATTTTTTAACATGTTATCGTAACTAATTTCTGGAAGAATTTACTTGTGCTTTATACAATTAGTATCAATGTTCCGTCAAACCGTATCTTCAAGTGATCTTCGCAAGCACCACATTTTGTTCAAGCTCTTTGAAACTGCATGTGATGACAGGACTTTCGGATGCGCGGTTTGCAGTACAGTTCGTTTATTCACAAGCTATTTACTATAGATTACCTTTTAATCTAAGCGCTGCGTATAGAATTTATTTTAGATTTACTAATATTTTTGAGTGGCTGGATCAAACCAAAACATTCAATCTGTCTGAAAAACCGGGTTGCCAAACATACCTGAATATTCACAAACAAGCGCAGCCTGTTTGATGACTGACACTGTCGGCACTGCCAGCAAAGCTGCGGCACACTTGAAGTATACGGAGAAAAAAATTGGCGCAAAATGAGTGTGTAGAATGACCACCCCTTTGCGGCACTTAGCAGCAGGATAACTTTTCATACGCAGAATCTCGCCCAAAATATGACGTATGCGCTCAATACTAATCTTTGCGGTATCTGCTAGCTCGCGCACCTTCACTTTCCAGTCAGTAAACACCATTTAATTTTTTTTTTTTTGACATTGTCCTCTGTAACCGCATTGGAGGGCCTGCCGCTGCGGACTTGATCGGTAGTGGAGTTGCGGCCACCACGAAACTCTCGAAACCAATATTTGACGGTGTAATCTGACGGAGTATTAGCCCCATAATATTTATTCAACTTTTCTTCTGTTTCCTTCACCGTTTTGCCTCTCAAAAGATAATGTTTTATGAGAGAACAAAAATAGTTTTTATCTATACTCAACACACCTCTACTATTGATTTGGTCTTAACTGATTCATGTCAACTTTGTAGCCAATTGGTTACCCATGCTGACTTCGGTTCTGATCACCTTCCAGTAACTTTTGAAATATCCCAAGAAATAATTTCAAATCCCAACAGCTCTACTTTCAATTACCATAGAGCTGATGGGGAGCAATATCGAACATTAATGGAATATAACTTCAATCCAAACATTCCTTTGCAAACCAAAGATGAAATTAATTATGCTCTTGAATCTCTGATTACTTCTATAGTTGAAGCAAGAGCTGCCTCAGTACCAAAATGCGAGGTTAAATTCGATTCAATTATAATAGACGACGATCTTCAGCTCTTGATCCGTTTTATAAATGTCCGTAGGAGACAATATCAAAGAACACGCGATCCTGCCATGAAAGTTATCTGAAGGGATTTGCAAAAACAAATTAAAAAGCGATTCTCTGCCCTGAGGAACAAAACTTTTGAAAATAATGTTTCTAAATTCGACCCGAGTTCTAAGCCCTTTTGGAAGCCTATTCCAGCGCTTAAAGAAGGTGGTAAAATTTTAATCACAAATTTGGAAAAAGCTCAGAAACTTGCTAAGCAATTCGAGAGTTCCCATAATTTCAGTTTGGGTCTTACTAGTCCTATTGAGAATCAGGTTGCTCGGGATTATCTGAATATTTTCTCTCGGGAAATTTGGACGAAGTAAGGTCTATAACTAAAAAGTTTCATAAAATGAAAGCTCCAGGTGATGATGGAATTTTCCATATCCTCATCAAAAAACTTCCAGAGAGTACCTTGTCTTTCTTGGTAAAATTATTTAACAGATGTTTCCATTTGGCATACTTTCCTGATAAATGGAAAAATGCAAAAGTTGTTCCAATTTTGAAGCCGAATAAAAATCCAGCTGAAGCTTCTAGCTACCGTCCAATAAGTTTGCTTTCTTCAATAAGTAAACTTTTTGAAAAGATAATTTTGAATAGAATGATGCTTCACATCAATACAAACTCAATTTTGGCAGATGAGCAGTTTGGATTTCGCCATGGGCATTCAACTACTCATCAACTCTTAAGAGTTACCAATTTAATTCGTTCAAACAAATCTGAAGGCCACTCAACTTGCTCTTCTAGACATAGAAATAACATTCGACAGTGTTTGGCATGAAGGTTTGATTGCTTAATTGAAAAAGTTTAATTTTCCACTTTACATTATGAAATTAGTTCAAAATTATTTAACTGACAGAACTCTGCAGGTAAATTATCAAAAATCCAAATCCAATCGACTATCTGTTAGAGCAGGAGTTCCTCAGGGTAGCATTCTTGGGCCTATATTGTATAACATTTTCACTTCGGACCTCCCTGATTTGCCTCAGGGTTGCCACAAATCTTTGTTCACTGATGACATGGGCATTTCCGGTAAAGGAAGAAGCCTTCGTGTTATTTGCAGCAGACTGCAGAAAAGTTTAGATATTTTCTCTTCTTATTTACATGTTTGCCTAAATATGAACGGACTATCATCACCTTTTTTGCAGTAGCAGCGCATTCTGGCGGTCAAGGAGGTTACTTTTCACCCCACCATCTATGCAAAATTTCATCCAAATCCAATAAATTCAAGCCTTCCCATTTCCGTATGTCACGTGATACTTTCATTGTCTTTGAATCGAAATATGAATAAATGACTATATTTCCGAATTAATTAAAATTTAACAAATTAGATACTAACTCTTCTCCCGACCGTCGTACGAACAACGTTTTCACTTGCTTTCAATATTTCTTGAATTGGCTGAAGACATATCCTTCAGCCTCTTAAGATTTTCAATCATACTATCAATCATCTTTTCACGTTCAATGTCAGCCGATGACGGTTGAGGAGGTTCCTCATCGACTGGTGCATCAATCTCGGCTTCTTTTTCTCCTATTACTGCTTCAGCACTAGGTTGAGCTTCTTGGTTTTCTTCTAAAGATCTGGGAGCTGGTTCATCACCTTGCATTTCTTCATCAGAGTCAATCGGTTTTGCAGCGCCAACCAATTCCTCGTCATTAGAATCTTCGCTTGGAGCACTGGCTTCGGCGGATTTTTCTGCATCTCCTTCATTACTTTCCAGTGCCAAAAGTTCAACTTTTTCCTCTTGAATGGCGGGTGCTTCGGCTTCACTTGTAAGATTCTTTGATGCTGTCTCAGCTCGGGCGGTAGCATTGGAAGCAGGTTTCAGCTCTCCCTTTGGGGCTTCTTCAACTGTGGCAGGCACTTCGGCAGCAAGATCCGGTTTTGATGCTTCGGCAACATCTCTTCGCGAATGACTAGCAGGAACCGCCAATGCAACACCGGCAATCACTGCCAGGATCAGAAAAGCGCTCTTCATGCCTGAAAAATATATAACAAAATGTTCAATTCAAACACTGAAATCGCAGTCGGTTCCGAGTCGGCTTACCGTTCATGGTTGTCGTTGTTTGACCTAGTGGCGTCGATAGAATGTTGGCTGTCTGAAGGTTGCGTCCCGATTTTATATGGTAAGCAGAGAGCGGAGCATGGCTTATCGGAGTGGAACGTGCTTCCCCGGTGGTTGGATTTCAAGCAGGCATATCCTCACGTGTGTGTGTTGTGCGGTGGCTTAGATATTTGCGTAATGATTCAGAGCGTTTATCAGTGCTCTGATGGCAATTTGAAAGCACGTCTGATGCGATGGGCAGTGTCAAGATGGAAGCGATACAAGGAAGGTATAGTTACATTTCGTGTTAGATTTGCTGAATTCTTTCGTTGTCTTACTCATGAATGGCCAGTGATATTTCCTAGAAGGTAGCATTTTTTATCAGCTTTTCAGCGAAAAATGTTCAAAAATTATTGAAAAGGATCATTATTTGCTGCTTAAGTTTAAAAAAATTTTGTATGATTTTTTATCAAAAAAGAAACATGATTCTTATAACCATCTATATTTCTTCTGAGAAGGAGTTATTTTTCCTACAACACTCGATTGGAAGTGACGTTTTCGAGGTATAATTTGTTGAATAAAATGAAAAAATACCATTCTGAAAATTTTTGCGACATTAAAAGAGATCAAATTTTAGCTAAACTATAAATGATTGGCCATTACAGACAATTATGCAAAGTTTCATCCGAATCGGAGATGGTTGCATCAAATCGATTTGTCAATTTAAAATTTTCCTTTCGTGAGTGTTGGCACTAGTGGTCCTCTTATTGTCCATACGGCCTAAAACCTCAAAATGTATATACAATTCAAAATGTCTTCCCCAGAAGGTTAGTCTCCATGCTGTTCTCAGTGATGTTGTCGTAAAATTAGAGGTAAGTAGTCACATTTTTTTTCATATTGGTCATTCCACTGTTTTGTCCGAGACACGTGAAATTAACCTCTTCCGATTTGGACCATATTTGGAGGAGATGTTTATTTTGGTCTAACTTTTATTAATCCAAATTTTTGTGCCGATTGAAACACCCCTCGGTCAAGTGGAGCATCTTCATGATTTTCAAGAAAGCACTCCTAGCGGCGCCGGTGGTGTAGTGGTAACCGTGATTAACTCTCACCCCAATAGGCCTGGGTTCAATCCCAGTCGGCGCCACCGGGATTTTCTGATGCATAAAACCGATGCTCACACCTTCTTTCGGAAGGGAATAAATCCATTGGTCCCCGGTCTATGAGTTGATAGGTCGATAGGTAGCGTCCAAATGTGGACGCGTCCGTAGCATTGGTACTCAGTACGGAAAACAAGATCGATGAAAATTAAATCAAGAAAAATCTTCAGAACAAATAAATCTACAATTACGGGCCTGTTCATTTAGTACGTAGACAGTATTTAGGGATTCCCCCTGCGTAGACAGTTGTCCATACATAATCTTTAAAATTTGTATGGGGCGTGGATAATTGCAAGGCCACGATTGACAAACCTAGAAGGGAAAACTCCTCTGCGATTATGGCATTCGTTTGGCCAGATAATGGTGTTAGTCCTTGAAAATTAAGCTCGGAAACCGTTTCCAATTTCGCAAGTTAGTCGTGTGCTGACGGACGACCTTAAGGTCCAAAACAAAAGAGGTCCTGAACAGTAATTATCCCTTGGGGGGGGGGGGGTGAAGAGATCACGTTAAACTTTTACCACTGCACTAGTTAATTTGCGTGATTTAACGAGTGTTGATATAATTTTTTTTTTGGATTTTGGGCCGGACGTGAAGGGTGTAAAACGCGTTTCGCTAATCACAAGAAAGAACCACTAGCAGCAGTAGAATCACTGGGCGAAAAAAAACTGCAGTAGTAATCAGAGGAGTAAATGGCTGAACACAATGATAACGGTATAGCGGCATAGCGGCAAGAGCATATTTTCCAATACACTGAAATCCGTTTGACAACCCATAATGAGCGCGTTGCGGCAAAAGTGGCGTTTCTTTTTCAACATTTTGGAAAAATGCAGTGCAGTTGAGCGGCAACCTGAGAAGTGCTCAATGTTTTCAGATGTATTTAAATGATTTTAGCTCTAAAACATGCACATATCGCCCATCGTTTTTATTTTTTGAATAAGATAAGTAGTAACATAGTAGATATACTGGAAAGTGACATGAGAATTCAAAAATAATAACATGTTCCGGGTGCTCTCGGGGAGTTTCATAAATTTCACGGCATTTGCCTGCGACCAATGGAACTTCTCTGGAGTTCTCAGAAATTTCCTGAAATTCTCTTCAGAACTACTCTGAAGTTCTCCTCAAAATTACTCTGAAACTCTCCACAGAACTACTTTGAAATTCTCCTCAGAACTACTCTGAATCTCTCCTCAGAACTACTCTGAAGCTCTCTTCAAAATTACTTTGAACTTCTCGTCAAAACTACTCTGAAGTTGTGATCAGAACTAAGTTCTCGTCAGAACTACTCTGATGTTCTCCTAAAACTTCTCTAGATCTTCGATGAAGTTTTCAACATTTTCCTGAAATGTACGAAGTTGTGTGAATATTCTCTTGAAGATCGTTGAACTCTCCCGATATTCGGGACTTCTCTAAAGATATCGTTACTCCCCAAAGTTCTTTAAACTTCTCAATAAATTAGAGTTCTCTGGACTTCCTTAAAATTCATGGAACCCCAAAAAACAATCGTTTCTTGAAGAAACGACTTCTTGACCTTTTCATTCAACTGCATGCTTAATAGTACTTGTACTATTTTTAATAATAACTTCTGTTAAGGCTTTTTTCACACAAATCTGGAGAATTTATTCAACCACAACATTGAACTACTTGGTGTTGTATAAGATATGTCGAGAAGCTTTTATTCGACTTATATGAGTTGTAATAGAGTTTGAACGATAACATCATCTGAAATGATTCAGTACTTTCTGGAGTGATTCCAAACTTTTCTGCAAGGTTGCAAATACTCATTTCAGCTACAACAATGTTTTCTTTTATTATGAAATAATTAGATGCTTTGATCATATTTTGAATTGGTAAGATGCAAGAAGAGGTTGCAAAGAATGTGTAGGACATATTAAACCTGTTTATTTCACTTCATGAGAGTCACAATCAGCGATTTTTCACACACTCACTCACTCACTCAGCGATCAGCAAATAGCTGATCGTGACTCATAGAAAGCAAAATTTACAGGTTTTATGTTTCAAACCCATACTTTGTAACCTCTTCTTGTAAGTTACAAGTAAAACATGTCATCATACCATCTTTTGGTTTTATTATTCCGAAAAACATTATTTTAGCTGAAATGAGTATTTGCAACCTTGCTTTTCTGAAGTAATTTAATGCTTTTTGAAGTGATTCAGAATTTTTTGAAATAATTCAGTACTTTCCGAAATGATCATGAACATTTCAAAAGTGACTATGAACATTTCTGAAGGTATTGAGTATGTTCGAGGTGATTCCGAACATTTCTCAAGTGATTCAGTACATTCCTAAGTGATTCAATTATTTCCGAAGTGAATTTTTCGCAATGATTCAGAACTTTACAAAGTGATTTCGAAATTTTCTAAAGTGTTTCCAATCTTTTCTGAAGTTACTTTGTGAAGTGCAGCATTTCTAAAATGATTAAGTACTTTCCAAAATGTTCTGAATCGATTCAGTACGTTCAGAAGTGATTCCGAACAGTTATAAAGTGAAACAATACATTCCTAAGTGATTCAGTATTTTCCGAAGTGATTGAAAAAATTTCAGAAGTTATTCAGCACTTTCCGAAACCAGTCTTTACTTTTCTAAAGTGATTCAGTACTTTCTGAAGTAATTTAGAGCTTTTCATAAGGCATTCAGTGCTCTCTGAAATGATTCAGTACTTTTTGAAGTGATTCCGATATTATATGAAGTGATTCAGTCTTTTTTGAAGTGATGCTGAACATTCCTGAAGTGATTCAATATTTTCCGAAGTAATACCGAACTTTTATGAAGTAATTAACTACTTTCCTAAGTAATTCAATTATTTTCATAAGTGATTCAGTGCATTCCGAAGTGATTCCAAACTGCATTGAAGCGATTCAGTACTTTTGTGACTGTGGCATGACCAGACACTCCCGGGTAACTAGCTCAGTAGCATGAGAGCCCTGAACTGTGTCGCAGGGCCGGCATGTTACTGGGTATTCGGAGGGGCTCCGCGGACAAAGTATGAAACACACAGGAATATTCACATTTTCTAACACATTTATTTGCCCTTTTCTGTGGCGTGTGGGTGTGGGTTTTCACATATATGTGGCGTGTATGCGAGGGTTTTAAAATTTGCACTGTACTCACTGCTGCAGATCTCCTACGGCGTCGCGACGCTGGCGTTGGCCCACACGGCTGCTCCTGCACTACCGTGTGGCCGGAAACTTGCGGCGTGGGCTGCAGACAGTGTTGTTGCAGCTTTGGGAGAATGGCGGATCTGGTGGCGTTCACCAGCCACATACGGCTCAGCAGGCGTTGCTGGCTCGTTTGGCTGGCAGGCGTCTTCCGTCGTTGACGGCATCGGCTGACCGTCGCATGGCCACCTTGGTCGAGCCGAGACGGAACTCTCCTTGGCAATTAAGGCCACCAGTCTGAGGGAATCGTCCCTGACGGATGATCGAGTATCATTTACTATTAGGCTCGGAAGCCATGTTGACTTCTGAGCCGAGCCGTGTAAAACCGTTTTATTTACGGTACGAGGTGTACAAAATGTACAAAAGCAGAAGAAGTCCTGAACGGAGATAGGCTTTCCAGCCCAAACCCCACAAGGGGGGGGGGGGGGGGTTGTATTATATATGCACTACACTTCACGATACCGGTCTACACGGACGCCTGATTACTTCTGCCAATTAGAAGGTTATTTTTTTTAGAACATGGCCACTAGCATGCTTTTTGGCGATCATTCTCCATTTTTAGCTTAAGACTACGATTTTCCTCCCTTTAGTATCGTTCGAGTGTTTTTGCAGCGGTACTAACCCTCTCGCTGCTGTGTGTTGCCTTCTGTCTTTGATATTAAAATACGTGAATTTTCCAAACAACAACAACTCATACAAACGAAAATCCACGGATTGTAACCAACTGGTTACACTTTAAGAAGT